TCGCTATTTATAATATTTAGTAATATATTCTAACTTTATGATAACAACACCTACTATCATATTTTATCTCTCTGATATCATGCAAAGTTATCCTCTTCATACCCACAACGTAGTTTTATTTCTCGTATCTAGTTGGAAGCAAACCTTCGGTGTACATAGAGTCGTATCATTGGCAGATAGGACTTGAGAGAATATTGGTCTTACTTTTAGCTCCTTGTGGGTTCGACACTCCATACTTATCACTTCCGCCTTTGGAAATTGCTATGATGATTCCCTGCACTTGGGGATTATCAAGCTCTTTTCTGGCGCCGCTGTCGGGGAGCAATAGCGCGGGGTTGATATTCTCGTGTGTGCTTGTTTGCTTTCTTCACTAAGTAGATTTTCTTTTTTCTTTTTGTTTCTGTTTAGTTGTGGGTGAGACATACAAAAAAATTTAAAGAATGAAAATACAAAAAAATTACTTGGCTCTCATGCCTAAAAAAGTTTTTCAAAAAGAGAAGTGATTGGAAAGTTATGCATTGAAGAAGTGAGGGTCGAGCTTGAGCACTTGTGTTCATGCTCACGGAAACAATGTAGAATTTTTCATGGAATATTCTCTGGAAATAATTACCCCCTTGTATATATCCATTGTATTATAAAAATAATGTGCCAAGCTTTGGTTTTAGGATGATTAGATTGCTTGTTTACTATGTGCAGAACAAAAACAGAAACTTTGGCTGTAGCGCGTGATTTTACATTCTTTACTGGAAGGTCAAATAGGTCTGAAACTTTTTGAAAATTACTTCTGTACAAATGTTTCAAATTTTCATATTTAATTAATAATTTTTGGAGTTACATATGTTTACTAAACTTCCAGATTACTACAGACCGTCCTGTTTTTGACAGATTCTGTTTTTCGCATGTTGTTTGCTTATTTTGATGAATCTATGGCTAGTATCGGGGGGTATGAACCATAGAGAAGTTAGAATACAGTAGGTTTAACACCAATATAAATAAAGGATGAGTTCATTACAGTACCTTAAATTGGTAGTTTGCTTTATTACACTAACGGATTTCACAAAGTTTTTGTTAAAGTTTTGTGTGGATGAAGTGTTCGCAGATCGAGGAGCTATCAATATGAGAAGAATAAAGAGAGGCAAGAGTTCAAGCTTGGGGATGCCCAAGGCGCCCCAAGTAAATATTTCAAAGGATACTCAAGCATCTAAGCTTGGGGATGCCCCGGTTGGCATCCCATTTTTTTCTTCAACAAATATCGGCATACCTCGGTTTTTGTTTTGTTCACATGATTTGTGTCCTTTGTTTTTTTGTTTTTTTACTTTAAGAAACATGCTAGTATGAGTTAGCCCTTCATTGATTTATAGAATACTTCATGTGCTTCACTTATATCTTTTAAGTATGATCTTATAGAATTGCTCTTTGTGCTTCACTTAAATCTTTTGAGTATGGTTTTATAGAATGCTTCGTGTGCTTCACTTAAATATTTTGAGCTTGGATATTGGTTAGTCTATATTAATTGTAGAATGCTCCATGAACTTGGGGATCATCAAGGATCTTCAACATCAACCAGGTTCTTGAGCACAAATCTCATCTCCTTTCAATTTACATTATTCGCCATTTGCCTCTCATTTTCCTCTCCCCCACTTCACAAAAATTTGCCTTTGTATTCGCCCTCTTTTGTGTTCGCCGTTTGCTTGTCAGATCTCTTCTTCGCTTGTGTGCCATGTGTCTTCTATTTTCTTGCATCTTTGCTTGCTAAATAACTCTTGATATGGATTCTCATCCACTTGCTAATCTTTTTAAGAGATCCAATTATGATGAACAAATTGCTAGTGATTTGAGTACACTAGATTATCTTTATGAAGTTTTGCTTGAGATTCGTGAATCTGAAAATTGTGATGAAGAAATTTATGAAGTGATTCATGATAGCTCTTTGAATGAAAATCATGATTGCAATGATTTTAATATAAATTCTATTAATGTTAATTATGCTAAAAATATGCAAAACCCCAAGCTTGGGGATGCTAATTTTGCTATGTCCACTACTTATTGCAATGATCATGATTGGGGTGCTTCTTCTTATGATCTTGAAAATTTATTTAAGCCCCGTGATGAATATGAGATTGATAATAGTGTTTGCAATAATATTGAAAGTGGGTTTGGAAGAGTGTCAACTTTAGATCCCACTATTTTGGAGAATGTTCAATCTTATGAAATTTTTCATAAAAGTGTGCTTGGATAGGTCATGACTTTAGTTAATGTTAATCCCACTATTTTGGAAGAGTGTCAACTTCACATGCATGTGGATCGTGTCGAGAATATGTTATGTGATAGCTATATTATTGAATTTTCTTATGATCCTACATGTAATTATTATGAGAGAGGAAAATATGGTTGTAAAGATTTTCATGTTACTGAATTACCTCTCTTCGTGTTGAGATTGCTAATGTTTCTTTCTTCTTCCTTGCATATGCTAGTTTTTGCTTGCCTTGATAATCTGTTTGCTTATAAAATGCCTATGCATAGGAATTATGTTAAACTTAGATGTGTTTGTCACATGTTTTATGATGCTCTTTGTGTGTTTCAATTCTTTATGATGCTCTTTGTGTGTTTCAATTCTTATCTTTCGTTTGAGCATCAATAAAATCTTATGCCTAGCTAGGGGCGTAAACGATAGCGCTTGTTGGGAGGCAAACCAATGAATAAAATTTATGTTTGCCTTTTGCTTTATGTTCTTGAGTGTTAGCACAATTATGATACTGTTATGATTGTGTATTTTGTGTTTTAATTAGTGTTTGTGCCAAGCAATGCCTTTGGGAAGACTTGGGCGAAAGTTTATTTGATCTTGCTGAAAAATAGAAACTTTTGCGCTCACGTGATTCGTTGTCATTTTTTACAGACGAGTTATTTTAATTTGATTCTTTTTGCAGAGGATTAATAGATAAATTCCTCATGTCCACCAAATTATTTCATAATTTTTGGAGTTACAGAAGTATTCGAAAGTTCCATATTACTACAGACTGTTCTGTTTTGACAGATTCTGTTTTCTTTGTGTTGTGTGCTTATTTTGATGGCTCTATGGTTTTCTTTGATGATTTTTTGCCATAAAAAAGTTGGAATACAGTAGATATAATACAAAAATAATAATTGGTTTGGCACAACACTTATAGTAGTATTTTGCTTTCTTTTACTAACGGATCTCACAAGGGTTTTGTTGAGTTTCGTGTGATTGAAGTTTTCAAGTTTTGGGTTATCTTACGATGGATGAAAGAAGGATAGAAGAGCCTAAGCTTGGGGATGCCCCGGTATCCCAAGCTATTATCCAAGAATGAGCAACCAACTAAGCTTGGGGATGCCCCCAAGTGGCATCCCCTCTTTCTTCTAACGACCATCGGTATTTTACTCGAGGCTATATTTTTATTCGTCACATGATATGTGTTTTGCTTGGAGCGTCTTGTATGATATGAGTCTTTGCTTGGTTTATTTTGTGTTTGAAGTCATCAATCCTTGCTGGACACATCTATTTGAGAGAGCCAGAATTATGTCATGACTTGTTAGAATTGCTCTCTATGCTTCACTTAAATTTTTATGAGCAATGGACTTGCTCTAGTGCTTCACTTATATCTTTTTGAGCACGGTGTGCTTAGTATTTTTGAAGAAATGCTCTCTTGCTTCACTTAGATTTATTCAGGAGTTAGTAAAATTTTGAAGAAATTCTCTCTTGCTTCACTTAAATTATTTTGAGAGAAAGAAAATATGTTATGCTCATGATCTTCACTTATATTTGTTTGAGCTTATGAAAAACAACACATGAAAATTAGTCCCAAAGTGATAGATATCCAAGAAGGATAAATAAAGAAAAAAATTATGCCATGAAGATCATTTGACAAAATAAACTTGATTCTTAGTAATAGTTTTGAGATATGATGATGTGATATGCGAGTTATGTTGATGAGTAATTGTGCTCTAGTAAGAATATTGGTGTTAAGGTTTGTGATTCCCTATGCATTATTCGGTGTTAATTATGCTTAATGCTTGCTTATGAGATTATACGTTTTTTGATTGGTCGCTTCTCAATCTTTTTGCTAGCCCTTCACGTATGACCTCTACTTGTGCATCCAAAATCCTTTAAACCAGTTTTGCCACATGAGTCCACTATATCTACCTATATGCGGTATTCTTTTGCCGCTCTAAGCAAATTTGCATGTGCCATCTCTATTTTTCAAAATAAACTTCTCTTTTGTGTGTTTGTTTTGCTCGCGGAACGGTAACGGGTGGCTAATATTTTCCATGCTAGATGTGTTATTCTCACGACGAGTGTTTATTCAATTGTCATTGCACGAGAGTAAGGAAAATGTTTTAGGGATGCCCAGTCCTGAAATGCAAAAATGAATTTACTTTAGGCAGAAGAAGCATGTTCCATCTGCAGTCAGAGAGAGAGATATGGTGACATTGCAGCATTCACTTGCCCAGACTGTTGTACCAAAACTTCAACCTGATAGCGTATCTAGCAAATTACAGAAACCTCTCCTTCCTAGCTAGAAAAGCATACCTAACTAGCCTACAGGTTGACCTTTTGTAAGTATCAAAGAAATGCTATATGTGCACACACACAAAAATCAGCAATTAAACATCTCATGCATGTGTATAACTGAAAAGACAATTAAGTTTCCCACACAAGCAAGTGTTTCTATCCCAGCTTAGGCAGAACAAAGCCACAATTGCATAGGGTAACTCCGCAGGAGTAGTTTCAGCAGATGTGGTTATGGCATGCCAGCTCCCTCGGGCAGTAATACGTTTAGATCCTCCCAGATAAATATTCCACGGTGCACTATTGTTGCATCCAAGAACTTCTTTTGTAGTTTTAACAGGGGTAACTTCATAAGTTACTGGAATCATTATAGAGGAACTTTAGACTAGAAATAGAGCAGACTTGTGCGGAAGACAATTCGATCTTTAGACATCAACGCCATCTACAAAATGAGCACAAGACAGTGCAATCTTCAGGCACCAACCCCATGTATGGGTCTGAAGGGGTTCAACCACTGAGAAATCATGGACATGTTTATGGGCATGGATGTAGTCCTGAATTCAAACCGAGCATGTCGAGAAGCTCTGTTTTCCACTTGCAGCAGCCTATATTGATAAGCCACCATTTCACTGCGGTAGTGATTATATACTTCAAATTCCATCTTATCTAGCACCTTTGCATTCAATACAAAGATCCTGGCAAATTCAACCTGTCTCCTATAGCCCTGGAATGACTTGAACACCACTTTTTTGAGATGGGACTCAAGGCATTCGATTGGATACAGTGGGTCATACGGAGGCTCATTTTGCTCATGCATCTCATAGTGTTTATGAAACTGTGAAATGGGAAGGAGAGGCAATATGTTAGAGCTGCTGCTAACTAGACTGCTATAGTTTGTTGAACAAATCAAACATTTAAAGAAGGCAAAGGTGAGTACTCACAATAATACAGAGCTTTTCCAAATAGGGGAACCACCTAAGGATGTTAAGAGTTGCAAGCAATTTATCTCCAGAAGGCTTGAGAGCCAAAACCTTCAAGGTGCGCATCGAGTTTGTGGAGCTGACTGAGTTTATTCCCTGAAGAAAACAAAAAGAATGAACATAAAAAATAGACTTGGTTAAATCTCAGTCGACTGATTTTTAGCATGCCCGTAAAAAATATAGCCTGCATGTATGAATGCCGAATGCAAGATTACAAGATGACGCTGCTGCAACCTGGAAGAGTAGGAGCTTGGAGGCCACAACCAAGAAAGGGCCCAATATCTTCAGATTAGGCGCACTAATCACCCTGACAGTGACACAATCATCTCTCTTACAATCAGTTAACAGTAACCTTAGAAGGCAGGGAGCATCTTCGATGACCAGTTCCGTTTTTTCACTAGAGCTATGACGGAAGATGATGGTCGTAAATGTAATAGTAGGCGAGCTGACACGGAGCCAACCCGCAGCACGAACTTCGGCCATGTATAAGCTCTCCAAGGCATGGCAGCCAGAGAGCAGTCTGTGGAAGGCATCCGCTGTGATGGAAACTAAAAACAGGGTGAGCTTCTTGAGGAGGGGGAAATTCATGCACGGTAAGATCTTGCCAGGGGGATCACAATGGCTAATCTTGGCAACGAGGATGGTGGATGCAGAGCGGAGCACTATTTCCAGCAGCGGGCAGTAGGCGTGGCTTATATCCAGCTCTTGGAGGTTGGCGAGGGCTCGGGATTGAGACCACTCCTGCGCCCGGAAAAACAGGAACCCGGAGCGGGGCCAGTTTATGTACAATCGGCGGGTAGGGCCTGGGTGTCGGGAGAGTATCTCTGAGATGGCGGCGCGGGGGACAACAGAGGTGAGGACGGGGACGCCGGGGAAGTACCGGGGTGGACGGTTGCGGACCTCGAGGTTGAGAGGCGCGGAGAGCCACAGGTGGCGCCAACGGCGGGAGAGGGCCTGGGTGCGGCCGCCGTCCTTGGTGGGGAGGAGGGAGATGATGGTGCCGAGGATGTCGTCGGGGAGCCTGCTGATGAAATCGCCGGCGGTCTCGTCGCAATCGCTGCTCCTTGCCCACTTCGCTGCGGTCCCATGGGATTCGGGCGCCGGTGCTGCAGCCGTCGCTGTCGCCCATGCTGCCGCTTCCTTCTCTATGGCCGACGACCAGCGAGACAAAAGATTTGGGGTCAATACTTCGCCCGCCGCTCCTCGCCACCAGTCACCACTCGCGGCTGGGGAATGGAGTGGGAAGGTCAGAACCGGGATGGAGAGCTAGGGTTGGCCGCCGCCGGCCGCCACGGAGAGGCTCATTGGGTTGGGACGTTTGGGAAATGGGGGCTTTTAATTGGGAGAAGAACTTGGTCAGGCGCGGCGTCAAACCGAATTTCGATTGTTATTTTTGATTGATTGAAACGGAAAACCGAATTTCGATTAGACAAAGTATCTTCAGTACTCTCTCTTTCGTTTGTTTTTAAACTTTAAACTGTCCTGGTGTGCTACCAGTAAATTCAGATTCATGATACACCTCTTATAAATACATCTCATCTTCTTAAAAATATCAGCAATGCTAGAACGACGGATAGATTTTACATACTTTATGAAATGGTGCTAGCTGGCAGTGTTTGATTGGTGATTAGAGAGGGCGACTGGCCTCACCCCCTGGAAATCAAGGGGGACAAAGATAATTAGTGTAGAGAGGCCTGTGAATTCTCTGTAACAGTCTGTACGTTTAGAATCTCTATCTCTCTCTCTATATATATATAACTTAGAAAATGTAAGGTTCTCATTTCACCTTTCTTTTCACCTCACCTTCGTTCAACCTTTCACGTATATGATAGTCAATCACCTAAATTTACTTACCTTCTGTACCAATTCCACTTTAATTTACTTATCAAACTTCTAATCTATATACTACTTAAAAAGAACATAAGGTCCTATCGCACCTTTCTTCTCACCTCATCTTTGTCCAACCTTTCATGTATATGATCAATTACCTTAATTTACTTATCTTCCGAACCAATTCCATTTTATTTACTTACCAAACTTCTAATTAAAATATAAGGTAATTCACGGACAGAAATTGATGAACATTTATTTACACAAATCGCATTATTATTGACAGGTAAATCACAAGCTAATATATTAAACTATTTACATCCCGTTGCAACGTTGGGGCATTGTTCTAGTTATCCTAAAAATATGGAACAACGTACCCTTGGAAAAAACTCAAAAACAATCTACTTTGATGCCAAAAAAAATTGTCCTCTTTGATGCAATCTCCAGGTCTACCGATGCAGTGATCTTTTTTTAATGGAAATGCTTGGAATAGCCACTGCCTTCCATGCATGACATGTGCCCAAGTAGGGCCCACCCACGCCCTACCAATGTTATCTCTTTCACCAACGTCTCTCTATCTCTCTCTCCCTCCCTCCCTCCCTCCGTCCCCCCCCCCTCTCTCTCTCTCTCTCTCTCTCTCCCTCTCTCGTTCCATCTCTCTCTCGTTCCATCTCTCCTTCGTCAAGTAGGGGGCTCCAATGGCAGCATCCTCCTATCCCCTTCTCACCTCCATTTCAATTACACCATGATTCCCTCAATCCCACTACCCCTCTCGCATCTCGCCAATCTTCCATGGCGATCTCCACCAACAGCTCCTAGGCACTCGCACTTTAAGCTCACTCCGTGACTGTCACCGCTCGTCCCAACATTGACTGGTGCAAGCACCATGGCAAGACCATCTGTTTCAATGTCTGCAACATGCTCACACTTATGAGCGGTGGTGTTTGTGGAGGGAGCTGGAGATGACCGCAACATGACCCTTGTTGCAATAGATGGTTACCGCAACATGGTTCATGTTGCAACGAGTGACCATAACATGGTCCATGTTGCAATGGGTGATGCAAAATGATCCGTGTTGCAATGATCGGACGGATCACATGGGACAACTCGTACTACTGTTAACCTGGCGAATCTTTACAAAAGATTAGTCGGGTGACGGTAGCGTCATCTTTTTTTAATAGAACCAAGGGAACTTTATTGATGTACTTGTACTTATATAGTTAATATCAGCCAATAGGCTGTGAACCAGAAAATCAGGGATCTTATATAGCCAAACGTCTGACAAGACCTATGTGTGAGCTATCTTAGCACATTGATCTACGCCTCTATTATTAATCCTACTTACATGATGGATCTAGAAAGAAGCAAGACTAGAAACCTTTCCCCACTTTCATCTAAGATTGGCACAATAATCGAACAAGAATTAATGTGTGACAGAAGAGATTAACCACCTCTAAACAGTCAACTTTCCATGATCACATGAGAGAAACCTTAGAGTTGAGCAAAAACGACTCCTTCACGGAGTGCTAAGGCTTCTACGATAAAGGAATCTGTAATCTGTAATCCCTGACAGCGACTTGCTCCAAGCACCCAAGAAAGACAGATGAGCCGGGATACACCTCTCACTCTACGATCGTGTGCATCAATCAACATCAATTGCACCATTGAAAGTGCAACTATCCCTGGGTGGTATTGGTAATGATTAACAACATATAGCTCATTGAACTAATGCCATTTCAAGATAAATATTTCAGGAAAGTTCAATGATTGACATGGCATGGATTTGGATTGTGGACCGCTCAAAATGCTAAGGACAAAAGATTGGCTCAAGCTCTAAAGTCCAAGACTCTACATTTTCTATTTTAGTGATCCAAGATCACATTGAGTCTATAGGAAACACAATACTATTAAAAGAGGATGAGGTGTTGTTAATGGCTTGCTTGCTCAAAATGCTTAGTGATATGCTCCAAATCCCTCAACCACTTTCTCATATCCACATATGTCCCAAACCAAAAGTCAAATTCGGCCCCACCGATTTGATTCATCCGGCGCCACTGAGTTCATTTGACATAGCCACTGCCAGAAACCCTAGTCACTTCGGTGTCACCGATAGGGATCTCGGTCTCACCGCGATGGGGTTGCAAACTCTCTGTTTCCCTTGGTAACGTTTCAGTCTAACCGAGATGAGCGATCGGTCCCACCGAGTCTGTAATGCAAACTCTCCGTTTCCTTTTCGTAATGCTTCGGTCCCACCAAGACGAGCGAATTGGTCCCACCGAGTTTGCCTGACCAACTCTCTAGTTAGCTTATTACCAAAGTCGTTCCAGCCGAGTTTGTGTAATCGGTCAAACCGAGATTACGTTATGCCCTAACCCTAATGATATCGGTCCCACCGAGTTGACATGTCGGTCCCACCGAAATTGCCTAACGGTCACATTATCTACTGAATCTGTCTGACCGAGCTTTTTGATGCGATCCCACCGAGTTTGGTATATTGTGTGTAACGGTTAGATTTTGTGTGGAGGCTATATATACCCCTCCACCCTCTCCTCATTCGTGAGGGAAGCCATCAGAACATTCCTACACTTCCACTACTCATTTTCTAAGAGAGAACCACCTACTCATGTGTTGAGACCAAGATATTCCAATCCAACTATATGAATCTTGATCTCTAGCCTTCCCCAAGTTGCTTTCCACTCAAATCATCTTTCCACCAAATCCAATCCTATGAGAGTGACTTGAGTGTTGGGTAGACTATCATTTGAAGTACAAGAGCAAGGAGTTCATCATCAACACATCATCTATTACCTTTTGGAGAGTGGTGTCTCCTAGATTGGTTAGGTGTCACTTGGGAGCCTCTGGCAAGATTGTGGAGTTGAACCAAGGAGTTTGTAAGGGCAAGGAGATTGCCTACTTCATGAAGATCTACTCCAGTGAGGCAAGTCCTTCGTGGGCGATGGCCATGGTGCGATAGACAAGGTTACTTCTTCGTGGACCCTTCGTGGGTGGATCCCTCCATGGAGTCGTGCAACCATTACCCTTCATGGGTTGAAGTCTCCATCAACATGGATGTACGATAGCACCACCTATCGGAACCACGCCAAAAACATCCGTGTCTCCTATTGCATTTGCACACTCCAATCCCATCCCTCTACATTCCTGCAAGTTGCATGCTTTACTTTTCGCTGCTTATATACTCTTTTCATACTTGCTTGAATTGTGTTAAGATTGCTTGACTTGTGCTAAGTTGTTAAAATCTGCCAAGAACTATTATTGGGAAAAGGTTAAGTTTTATTTGGTCAAGTAGTCTAATCACCCCCCTCTAGACATACTTTTGATCCTACAGTTGGTATCAAAGCTTATTGGTCTCCATTTGCCTTGATTTCCATAGCTTTTGGTGATCATAGCCTTGGTTTCACAACCTAGGAGAATATGGCGTCTAGCGAGGGAAATTACCACCGTAGAGGTCCTTACTTTGATGGTACTAATTTTTCTAGTTGGAAGCATAAGATGAAAATGCATATTCTTGGACATAACCCTGCCGTTTGAGCTATTGTGTGTATTGGCTAGCAAGGTAAATTCTTCGATGGGAGAGAACTGAACCGTGAAGCTACCGCGGAAGAGTTGAAGATGCTACAATACATCGCTCAAGCTTGTGATGTTTTTACAACGGATTGTGCCCCGAAGAATTCAAAAAAATCAGCCGCCTTGAGAATGCAAAGGAAATTTGGTATACTTTGATTGATATGCACGAAGGT